TGGCAAAGAACAAAACACCAATAATAAGAGCCGTGAGCAAATTCATGAACTGTATACTGCCCAGACTACCAGTTATAAGTATTTTGTTTGCTGGGTTGTTTGTTTAGCTTTACATTTTTTAGGGTGGACAAATAAAAGACTATGTTCAAACTTCACAATGGAGAATTCTACAGCAGGCAGCTCAGCCAACACTTGCATGCCCTTGAAGCTTATGCTAGAAAGAGTTTTACTTTGGCTAACAGGTTATTATTAGTGGTCGGTAAAAATGTAAACTGAACCTCAATTGATGAGTTACAGTAGTTCTTTTCCAAGGTTAACATTAATAGATATATATTTGAACTTGTGCACTACATAGAAAACATATTAAGATGTGAAATGAGGCAGGGGGTGGGTGGGTCATACAAAATTGCTATGTCCATCAAAAAAATTAAAAACCAGATTCTCTAAGGTGGGAAATAAGAGGTAAATATTCTATGTACTTTGGGCAGCTGGACTTCTTGTCTTTTCTAGAATTACTCCTTTGCAATTACTTTTATTGCCTGCATCCTGACTTCAGGGGGTTTCTACTTGCTTTAAAACTCAGACTCAAATGAGGTCCTGAGGCCATTCCCACCTTACTCTATCCAGAGCGAAGACAAGGCTGGGATGTTTGGGCAAGTTTTTACCTGACCAAGGACTAAGGGATAAGCAAGGGCAACTACTCCAAAACTAGGTAGGTCAGAACAAGGTCTGGTTTGCTCTTTGGGCTTCCAGGTGCCCATCTGGCCTAACTCTTGGTGGGCACCAGCTTCACACCAACCACTGAGGAGCACACATTTGGACTCCTGTTGTCCATGAAGTCTAAACCCAAGGAAGAAAGGTTCACCTGTTTTTGCTAATCTGGGAAATGCACACAGCCCTGACCTAATTATTGCTGTGTTCCTTGGGCTTTGGTAACTGAAATCTCTGTTTTGGAGGGAAACACGTCTGAGGTTCAGACTCATCACTATAGGTAGGAGGAACTTCTCTTCACCCTGGGGTGCTGATGGCTTCCCATCCAACCTTGCCCAGGAATTCTGAACCAGATAAGAGGAGAGGGAGGGAGCAGAGAGAGGAAAGCAGTTGTTAGAAGGTGGTGGAAATGAATAGCCAATGAGAGTTGCCAAGGAGAGAGAAGATCTTTGTTTTCAAATCATTTTCAAAAACAATCACAGTTTCAGAGAACACAGCAAGGACACAATATTGAATAACTGAAGGAAGGTAAGGTTTGCATACCAAGTGGTATAAACTATGCAAATGTCAGCAGCAATAAAAAAGCTGGACAGAGATGGTATAACTGAAGTTTAATGAGAAGTCGCCTCTTTCCAAAATGCTCATAGTTTTTATCTTGTTTTCTGTCTTCTTGCTCAAAAGCCTGTCGTTTTCACTATGTACACAGCTGATTTCATGTAATTTTGGTGTTTCTATAGCGTTTCTAACAATTGTCACTTTTTCTCTGGAAAGTTGGTAATTCCTAATGTGCCATTGATATTGGGAACAACCACCCCCATAAGTTCTGTGTCCCACCCACTCACACAGTAGTACATCAAGTTGATCCCTCTATCCTTTGCAGAAAGGCATGCTCAGGCATGAAGGGCCAGGACAGGTGTCATTACAGATTAGCTCATTAGAACACCTACCAGTTAGGGCAGGTTTGTAAGTTTGAGCCTTGGGCAGATTGCTTGTCCTCTTCTGCAGCTCTCAACTGCATCCCCAACATTGGTCCAACCTCATTCAAAATCAGAAGGATGGGTGAATCAGCACCTATATATCACCAAACTTGATAAGCAACTCAAAAACCACATGTCTAACCGCTGATCATTTCCATAAGTAAAAGGTAAGTAATCAAAAACATTATTGTTACACAAAACAAGCCAAGTTGGAAATTAACTCCCAGCTCTGAGCATCTCTCAACTAAATGGCACATGTTGAACAAGTAAGCATATCACAAAATACGACCTTTCAGAGCATCTTAGCAGTGAGAAGGAAAAAAAATGTAAGAAAGGTTAGTATTTCAGAAAAGAAATGAAGGGAGCTGAGAAACAGTCATAGTTGGAATTATTTTTGCATGGTTTTTGTTCTTTCTCGTTATAATTTTCCTAATATTCAAAACACCCATGTTAGCTTTAGATTTGGATCTCCGCATCCAAGTCTCTCTTGCTCTCTTGATATGTTTCCAGAAATTAATGTGCGGTATTTGATTATATCACAATCAATAGTTAGAGCACATGGTATGCAAAGCACAACAGTAAAACATCATTACTAAATAGAAATGCCTGATAAATTTATAGGTATTTCATTTTTTTCCTTGTATTTTTCTGCCTTTTCCAAGTAGTCTACTATGAACAGTAAGTATTCTCATAACTAGAAAAAAAAAATCATTTAAACTGCCTGTTCATTGAAACAATGCCATTTTAGATCTCCCAGAGTTTTTAACATGGGTGTTCACTATTCTTTCTCCATTCCTTCTCTTTCTCTGCACACACCCAGTTTTAGAAATGAGATGTTCTGCTTTGTTGGTAAGCCAGGATCAAATTAAACTACTCCTGAATTTCACAAGTCTTAATATTTCAAATTAGAGATTTCAGCTCACTCAACACATTCTAACGCACTTGTGCTCAGTGAAGCATTTCTTAGATGAATAATTAGCTTGAATAATGTGTGAAAGCAAAAGGGCAAGTTTTTAGGCAGCCACTAATTGCTCTTCCCTCGGTGCTCCTACAAATGAACCTTGAGAGGTGAAAAGAAGGGTGTGGCAGGCAGTGAAGGCCCTTCTCGGTTTCTAGAAGGGCCTTCCCTTTGGCTCAGTGCAGGGTTTTGCAGTGTTGCACAGACATAGGTACCTAGCCATTCTGATCAGACCTAGTGCTCCACCGGAAGAAGGATTTTGCGGCCAGATAACCATGGCATCATGTCCTGCAAATATTATCTAGTGCTCAGTCTTGAGTTCTAGTATATGAGACAGAGAGAAAATATATGGTGCTTGGGTGTGTTGGAACAGCTAGGTTAATTTTAATGCTATCTTTAAAAGATGATAGCTAATTGAGAGCAAAAGAAAGCAGACACAGATAACTTAGGCACCTCTCTGGCTTCAATCACGGCTCAATTCAATATAGTTCCCACCCCCAGCCCCGGGTGTTCAGAATGTCTTATTTTGGAGTTAGACCCAGCTGGGGCTTGAAACTGGCTCCAGACGCTCAGTAGCATTAGCAGATGGTGGAATCCTCTAGGAAGTAATTCTACTGTGGGTTTTCTATTCCCTAACCAGGTCTTTTGAGCATAATGTGCTTTCTCACCAGCTCACTCAGCCTCTTCATTCCTTAACTAACCAGTCTCTCCTTGTCTCCACTTAAGGAAGAAATTGCAAGACAGAGATGAGAGAGAGAGAGAGAGAGAAAGCGAGAGAGAGAAAGCAAGAAAGGGAGAGAGATCACAGTCTCATTATACCCTCTATATGCTGGTAGAAGCCAGTATTCCTTTTCTTCTCAATCATAAGGATTTCTCCCCCTCCCCAAGTGCCGTATTCCTGTTACTAGTTTTGTTTTGTTTTAAGAAATTCTTCTGCTCTTCAGTGTTATCTGGTGATTCTTAATTTCAAAACAACTGAAATCTTTACCAACCATCCCATAGCAGAAGCAGGATCTGGATCTGAATTAGAAATATCCTTGTCAATCTTAATCCTCTAACTCTTTTGTAAGTGATGACTGTTAAAAATAAAAGAATTTAAAAATAATTCTTTTTGAGATAAGGTCTGACTCTGGGGTAGGGTGCAGTGGCATCATCATAGCTCACTGTAAGCTCAAACTCCTGGACTCCAGCAATCCTCCTGCCTCAGCCTCCTGAATAGCTGGTACTACAGACATCTGCTACTCCACATAGCTAATTTTTCTCTCAGGCTGTAAAAATTTTTTTAAATAAGGCTGGGCACAGTGGCTCACTCCTGTAATCCCAGCACTTTGGGAGGCCGAGGCAGAAGTCCAGGAGTTCAAGATTAGTCTGGGCAACATAGTGAGGCCCTGTTCTACCAAAAAATGTTTTTAATAAATAAATAAATAAAACTTGCCATACTATGCTTCTACAAACTATTTTTACATGCTTAGATTTTTTTAAAAAAATAAACATGAAATCATACCTGAAAAAAAAAAAGGAAATATCCCTGATAAAACCAAACATATAATCTATTTTTAAAGTAGTTTCTCCACAAAATGGGTATTTGCTTTTGGTTTTTGCTTATCTTATTTTTGTTTGTTTATTTTTGTTCTCGGCCAACCAATATTTTCCCTTTCTACTCATTTCCATGCCTAGTCCCCATTGATGCTATGAGCTTCCAGTTAGCCACGTTTGGTTTCTGTTGCTCATAAACAAAAATAGTAACTAACACAACTGGCCTCCACATTGCCCCTCATCTCTTCTCCCTGTTCTGAAATTCCTAGCGATTCCACATAAATAAGGTAACAATGATCCAAATGCTTTCTCCCAGATAAATTTCCCAGATTAGTAAACTGGAATTAAGGGAATGAGGAACAGGAGGGAGGGACTATTTCAGCAACACAATAATGTGAGGTTCAGTCATGAAACAAAAGAAGAAGTCAAGCCCAGCAGGGTGGCTCACGCCTGTGAGAGAGCATGTTAGGGAGGCCCAGCCTGGAGGATCACTTGAGGCTAGGAGTTCGAGGCTGCAGTGAGCCATGATGGTGCTATTGCATTCCAGCCTGGGCAACAGAGCAAGACCCTATCTCAAAAAAATAAAAGAGATGTGAGACCGTGCATGTCCTCTGTAACATTGGGGGGTCAGGACTTGGACGATTTACAGTTTTACTCAAGAGTAGGCTTGAGTGAAGGACGGTGGTAGGAGCCCTCCAATTAGCTCTGCTCTGTCCTTCCTACTTGATCAGAAAGAAAAGGACTAGGAACAGAAGTCATTAGCAGGCAGTGCCAGAGCTGACCTTATAGCTCTCCTTATATACACAAGCACATTCAAATGTGTTTATAGACATGATTTTACTTGCTGTACTTCACAGCAGTGCTAGGTGAAGGCACAGCAGAGATCGTGGTCTCCACTTTACTGTTGACCACGTCGAGGTCCAGAGAGATGAAGGCAGTTTTCCAGGGCTCCAAGGCTGAAGCCCACATCTTCTGGCTTCTCCTGTAAGGACACGAAAGAGGTAGGCTAAGCAATGTATTGGCGAAGAGAGGCAGGTTGTAAATGGGTGAAGAATTGTAGACCTTTCATTATTAACAGCTACTACTACCACTAGGTCCTCAGATGAGCCCCTTACCTTTAAGAGGGGGATAACATTGGTCGCCTGAGAGAAGGGACAGGCAGGGTAGTGGGTGTTCACGGAATGTTTAGCGAATGAGATAAGACCCGAGATAGCATGGGCAACCTGAGAGGGGGCCCGGTGGCCTGTCAGGTGTTTTGGTTCAGCAGAACAGGTAAACAGGGGGCTCCTGGACAGGTTGAACACAGGAAGCACCACCAGCCCAAGCTACCTGCTTGTCTGTTAACTGCAAAAACTTTTATACTCTATTTTGTGTTTTCAATGATGAGGTCTAACATAAGCAACAATTCGCCTTCCGACAACCCACTGAGCCAGACTCGGTGGCAGCCGCTTTTCTCTGGGCTCCGGGTTGCTCCTCTCCCTTCTTGCTCCCACAGCCGACGCGCGTTACTGGAGTGACCCGAGGCTTCTGAGGAAGAGCAGCAGCGTGGAAGCTTCTAATCTTCGTCAACTCCAGCCCGACAGAAAGGCGTCCCCGCCTCGTGCCGCGGGCGAAAGCTCACTCCGAGCAGCGTCGCCCAGCGGGCAGCGGCAGCGGCTGCGTTCCGGGGCCTCCCGCCTTCCGCGGCACCCGGCGCCCGCAAGCTGCCACCTCCCCAGGCGGCCGGGGGACTCAGCCGGCGCTGGGAGGCCGGGCGGCGGCCGCGCGGGCGCCGCGATTGGCCGCAGGGCGGCGGAGGAGGGGCGCCGGCGCCGTGATTGGCGGGGGCCCGAGCCGACGGGGGCGGGGCCGCTATATCCGAGGAGTCCCTGCCGCGGCGCAGGCAGTTGGGCTGCTGGAGTGCGGCGCTACCGCGGGGCGCAGGGGGAGCCGGCGGGCGGCGGGGACGCGAGGGGGTGGCGGGGACGCGAGGGCGGCCGCGGGCGCAGGGCAGGCGTCCGCAGGGCTGCAGCCTTCCGAGGGCCAGTCCTCGCCGAGCCCGGGGCTGGGTCCGAGCCGTGACGAGGCGGCAGCCCCGCGCGCACCAAAGAGGAGGCGGCTGTGGCGGCAGCGGCGGCCCCAGCCATGCTGTGCTATGTGACGAGGCCGGACGCGGTGCTGATGGAGGTGGAGGTGGAGGCGAAAGCCAACGGCGAGGACTGCCTCAACCAGGTGAGGGCGAGGGCCCGGCGGGGGCCCCGGCCGGTCCCCCGAGGCCGAGGGGCCTCGCAGCGGCGCCGGGGCGCGTCGCCTACCGGGGGCCGGGCGGCGCTGCGGCGGCGGCGGCGGGGGGGAGCGCACCTCAGGCGCCGGGAGCGCCCCCTCCTCCCCGCGGGCGTGGGGCGCGCCGCCCCCTCCCTGGCGTTCCCGGCGCGCGTGGGGGCCGCGAGGGACGCGCGCGGCGGGGGTCCCAGCGCTGCGGGCGCGGGCACGGTCGGCAGCCGCGATCTGCCACCCAGCCCCCCAACCCGGCACTTTCCCGGAAGAAGGCGACCCAGCACACCTGCCGCAGGTGTGTGTGCGTGATGCCCGCCTGTCGGGTCCCCGCGGCTCCTGGCTGTGCCTTCTGCGTCCCAGGATCAGTCGGCGGGCCCCGGGGTTCCTCGGCAGACAAGCCGGGCCCTGGTCTCAGGCTGTGCTCAGGCTGCTACTCGGATGGGCCATTCACCTGCATCCCCGGATTTGCGGGGCACCAGGGGACTGTCGGTGTGGGTCATCCACTGCTCGGTCGTCTTAAAGACGTGTGTTTCCTTAGGAGTGCGGAAGAACGGTTCCAAACGGCGCGTAGTCGGCGCGGCAGACAGCAGTTTAATCCCAGTGAGACGCTGTGCCCACAAACCCCTGGACCTGAGATGTTCGGGAAACCGCTTGCAAAGCTTAGCTGACACTTGTGGCGTGTTCCCTCAATGTGTTTGTTTTCTGGAGCCCAGATGGTTAAAATTGTCCAGATAATAAGCCGCCAAATCAGCTGTGCATGCAGATCGTGCTGGTGGAGGGGATTCCGGTGATTGGAATAAGAAGGAAAATACCCCGTGGCTCCCTCTCAGCCTTCTGGAAGGCTACTTTTGAGGGCTGCATTTTCCCCACTGCAATGGATCACGCCCTAGATATTCAAGGCAATGCAAGCCTCGATGCTGGGGCTCGTGGTTTAGTGTCGCCGGGGCCTTGGAACTTTGTTATTCCGGCTTAGATCGGGAATCCTAAGGCCGTTGAACTTTGCGAGAAGCAGGCGGCGATCTTGGCCCCAGAAGGAGCGCTTGGGTTGCGTTGGCATGTACCGTTTGCTCATCCGTGCTGCATTCATTTCTGTTTTAGGTGTGCAGGCGATTGGGAATCATAGAAGTTGATTATTTTGGACTGCAGTTTACGGGTAGCAAAGGTGAAAGTTTATGGCTAAATCTGAGAAACCGGATCTCCCAGCAGATGGATGGGCTAGCCCCCTACCGGCTCAAACTGAGAGTGAAGTTCTTCGTGGAGCCTCATCTCATCTTACAGGAGCAGACTAGGTAAAGCCACGCTAAAGTAAACCGGCGTCGTCGAGGAGAGCTTTGATTCCCTTTAGAAGGGGCGGCTGCACCTTCCCGGGCAGGTTCATGGGCAATCCGTGGCACAGCCGTTTTTGTTGAGGTGAAGAGGGAGCTATGTAGTTGGCCTGGGTGCACTTTCCAACTCTTCTTTTGGTGTTTCTTGTCTTTGTAAACTCAATGGGAGAGCAGGGTTGAATTCTTACAAACACTTGAGATGAGTGCCATACCGCAAAAAGAAAAAAAAAAAAAAGGCTCGACTGACTTCCTGATAGCAGCGTCTAATGCCCGATAGTAACCTCTGCCTCAGCAGTGTTACTATAGGTCATTGTAGACTGTTCTAACTGAAAGCAGGAAACAGTTCCTCTTGGGTTACTTAAATTTAGTCAACTTCTTCAGCCTAGTATCAGATTACAGTGTGTAGCAAAGAGCTCTGACTTCGTGCAGCATTTTTAAAAGTTTTTAAATTTTCTTGAAAACTTAAACTCTTTTAAGACCACTGTAACTGAATTCCAGCCCACAGATATATTACACATAATTGTTGTGCTTAGGTTGTTGGATTTATCTACATTGTAAAAAAAAAAAGACACCAGCAGTGGTAGACAACTGAAGCATGTGGTTTCATTTTTCAAACAAACTGTGTTCTCCTCTGCACTGACAGTAATACTTTTCACAAGGATGAGCCAAACCAGAAAAAGCGGTATTTAATATTTATTGCTGAAATGCAAGAAATTTCAGTTTTAATAGTGGTATGTCAAAAATAAAAAAGGAAAATGACTACTTTTAAAGACACAGCAAACTTTAGATCTAAGTTCTAATGTTTGTCATAATCTTTTGGCTTGGAAATTTGCCATGCACGTGAAAAATATGATTCTGAAAATTTTGAGTAATGATGAGTGAGCATTATCCTTTAGGAGCTTTTAATATTTTTGTTTGTTTACCAAAGGACTGATAGAAACACATTTTGAAATACTATTTATTTGAATTTAAACTCTCTACTTTGTCTTGTTATGGAGCTTTAAAAGTTGAGGGCAATTGTTTGATTTGTTTCTGAAGGAAGCTGGTATATTGAATTCATAGTGCTCCTGAAAACATCTTGCAAAATATTCTATTCAAGTGATTGCATGCTTAAGGATGTTTTTAGCTGTCTGCATTTTTTTCTTCTTTTTCTTTTTTTTTTTCTTAAAGCTGGTTTTTGAAAGCTTCTGCTTTGCACATAACATATTGAAATATTTATTGTGTAGTCTTATTGTGATATTGCTGTTATTTCAAGACCTCTAAATGAAACCAACCCAATTTTGATAACAAAAATATATTTTTTAAATCTGCGGAAGCTTAAAGGACCAAATACTTATTTAAACAAAGGTTGCAGTGATAATAGCATAATTCTTTTGTTTTATGAATGTATTCAGACTTTATAATTGACTACTAGATGGTACCTACCTGTGCTTTTCTGTAATTGGGTTAATATCTATTATCAAATCCATTTTATTCATGCAAGAAATAGAGACATTTTATGAATTAGAACTTGAGTCAAATTTTCTATCTTGGTTTTCCTTTATTGACTCAATTGAATTTGACTCCTGAGATTCATGGCTAATAGAACTGAAAGAATGTACATACCTAGTTCAACTAGGTGATTTTAATTGATTTTAATTTCTTTTTGAAGTCATATTGAAAAGTTAGTGTGATCTTAACATTTGACTTCCTTTTAATATATTGATGAATTTTACTTGCTTTTGTGGGTTGGCTGAAATACAGAACTTTAACAAAATGCCACCTAAGGCTTAGATAGGTTTTTGTATTTATAGCTGTAATGACTGGATAAAGTGATTTATATATAGCATTTTTACCTTTTAATTGGGATAGCAGAAGTTGCAATGTATCAAGTTTGCAATTAGCATTATTTTTAGTGCATGATACTACAGAATAAAAATACCTATTTTTCTTAATGTTATGTTAGTGAAATAAATCTGATTGATAAACTTCTTTGATGTTTAATTATTTGTTATGAAATATATGAAATGCCTTGAATATATAATAGCTCTGTTTATGAAGTGAGTAAACTTAGCTTTGAGAATCCAGTTATGAGAGGTGATTTTTTACTCTTTTCTAAGCCATTCGAGTGCATGTAGTATACTGAAAACTCCTTGATAGTTTATTAAATGGTGCTGAAATATCCTGGCAGAGTTATCCTCTGCGGACAATTAAAGTAGACTGCTCACAGTAGACTACTGGCCTAACTGAGGGTATTAGCATACTAGTTCATGTCAGATTAGGGAGTCCATGGTAAGAATGATGGGCAGGAAGGCCTGTTTGTCACAGGAGAGCACTGGGGACCAGGCAGAAACCTAATTTGTAGGTCTTGCTCTGCTGCCAACTAGCAGCTATCCAGACTTCCAAGCCTAAGCCTAGGAAGAGAGTATTTCTAAATCCCTTCCAGCAATAACTTGTTTTTGTTTCTGTGTCCTTTTTGTATTATTTTCCTTGCTGTTTTCCTGAATTCATTTCTCTGAAGACAGAACAAACATATCAAATGTCTGGGTAGACTGGTAGAGCTCTGATTTGGCCAAATTTTAAATTTGGTTCTTCTATCTAGATTATGTTTTGCTCTTGAATAGGGACCTCAAAAGTAAAAGGAGAGTCTTGTTCAGACTCAGCTGGCACATTCCAGAGATAGAGACAGCAGGTATTTTCAGCAGATGTTTGCCATGCTGTGGATTAAAATGAAAAGTGAAACAAATTAATGTATTCTAGAAATAGACTGAAATAATAATCATCTTGGAAATTTTTGCCTTTCAAAGGCTTTCAGTTATTCATAGCAATTCAGATTGGATTTTGTCAACATTTTCAAAACCAGAGATTAGAGAAGTATATGCTTCATCTTCACAGTGGCAATTATACCATCCACTGCCAATAAAATCTTCATATGTCTCCTGAATTAGCCACATGGTAGCAGAGCTCTGTGGTCTTTTGCTTAGTTAAGGCTCACAAACACCTGAATTCTCTCCCAGAAAACAACCCCAGTAGAGGGGTCCATTTGTTCTGGACTAAGTGTTCATGGAAATGCTACAATTCTGGATGTTAAATTCCATCAAGACTTTAATGATGCAGGCAGCAATGAGTTTGACTCTCATCCCTTGTTAAATCTCTCCTGCCTTTCTGACCTCAGCTCCATCAACG